TTCTGTTTTCCATATTTCTGTAAAGAGGAGAAGGCAGTGAGAGAGGAGCGAGTGGGAACGGGGGTGTCGAAGAGAAAAGGTGAAGCAGGAGGAACCTGGACTGAGACCGACAGTTAGAAAAACTTCTCGGGATTTTTTTCCCCCCACTTTCCAGCATTTTCCCAGGCGACAGTCGTTGTGAGCAGCAGCGGTAAAATGCCGCGGGCCTTTCTGGTGAAGAAGGCCAACGTTTCTCCAGGTAAACGGAACTGGAGCGAAGTGTCCGACCATGAACGAGGAGACGTTTACATCCCAGGTAAGAGCGAGGGTGAAGGAGTGAGTGATCCACACACTCTCACGTAGAAACACACATCTTAACAGACACAAAATGAAGGAAAATACTTGAATCTAAGTTGGCTTTGTGCTCAATTCAAAATAGTCTTATGTTCATTGTTATGGTGTGTGTGTGTGGTGGAAATCTCGTGCTTTTCTCCCGGTCCGTGGTGTGTGAGCGGTGTGTAACGGAAAATAACGGGAAACACTCAGAGCGGAAGAGTCCACTCGACCCGCTGGCTCTCCGTGAAACTAAACGTTTTCATCAATAACTTTTATCAAATGAAGTGGTTTATTTTACATTTCAATACCCTTTTAATGACGGGGTTGGAGCGAACAGAACCCAGGCTTCTCCACCTGTGGCCTAGAAACGAGCACCGACCGTTGTGTCGACCTTCAGCCTCTGTCTGAACATTCTTCCTTCTTTCTTCTTTTTTTTTCTTCTTCCTGATTGGCCTCGGACACAGAAACAACCCTGTGATCACTGATCAATCAGTCGATCCTTTATCAATACTCGGTCCAGTCCAGGAGAAATTAGAGAAAGTAAAAACAGTAACGTTGGGAGGTTGCTGTGAGATATTTTTAAACCGTTTTTCAAATAAACTATAGATTAGTTTAATCTATGCATTGGTATAAAAACTATCTTCAAAATATCGTATCGATACAGAAGTTGATGATTATAAATATTACAGTGATAAATATGTTTTGTTTATATATAATTTTACCATTTTTATTTCATGTTTTATATTTTTTAGGTTTTACACATTTGTTTCAAATAAGCAAGTAAACGTTTGGTTTACTACTTTAAGTTTCAAATGGAATATTTATTCTTATCTATTCTTAACTCTACTCAATTAAAGATTAGTAATTCTTCTGGACTATTTTTTGTTTTTATTTCGTAATGGCTTTCATAATAATTTATAACGTAAACGCATTTAATAAGTTTTGATTCGAAAATGACTATTTATTATAAGAATATTCTAATTGTAATTTTATAGTTTTAAAACATTGGACACACTTTCATAATAAATGATAACAATCATTTTTAAATACCAAATAAGTTCCAGGTCGGGTAATTTATTTATATTACTTTTTTAAATAATACCACATTAGTATTTAACAGAACACCATATATTGTGTTTACAAATAGAAGAAACGTGTGTATATGTTCTCTGTTTTCCGTCTCACATTACAGGAAACGAAAAGAATAAATTGATCAAAAAAGCCAACCTTTTTAACGCCAAAACACTAAATAAAATGGTTGACAAGTAGAATTAAAATATTAATTTTTCTGATTTTTATCAGATATTTTTTCAGCTGATTTTCTGACATAAAATACATTCATCTCTGCTCTACTAATTAAATGTATTTATAACAGGACTTTCCACGGCTTTTGAATGGGTGATATTTTATAACAGTCCCTTTTTGTGTTGACTCGGCAAGTCCTGACATGTGTGCGCGTGCGTGTGCGTGTGTACTGTCAAAGTAAGAGCCTCCCTCCTGCTCGTTTGCATCTGAATAACACGTCGAGAGAAAGAATCCAGCCGTTTTCTCCCTCTCCACCTCCTTTTCACCTCCTTCTCTCCTCACAACAATCTCTATTGTTGCCACCGGCGGAGGGGTTTATTGTGAGGCCGCGTCAGTATCAGATAACGAGTAACGGACTACACCCTAAAAACCTACACCTCTCTCTCCCTCCCTCCCTCTTCTCTGTCTCTGAGCGAATCTCAGTGTGTGTGTATATATATATAACTCGATAAAGATCGAGGTAACGCCGAGACCACTCTGGAATCAGTTCCACGTAACTGAGAAATCCGACAAATTAAAGACTTGTCATTTGTTTGATCCAGAAACAAAATCATGGTTAGTGTGAATGATGAACATGTGTGGGTCGTTAACTCTATAATCAGTCACTTCGAAAACAAGGAGTGAAATTAAGATTGTAATTCGAAAGGATCATCATCATGTTCAGATTTAGAGGCAAGTCCCAAACACATTTTTTTTTTTGTGAAACATCTCAAAAGGATTGTCTGTAAATAACGCACTTACAACAACGGTTCAACAGCGAGGTGTTTGGTATGTGCCGTTACTTGATGTTCCTGACTGACAACACACACACGCACACAGGTATGATAATTGCGCCACAAAGGAGTTATTTTCTGCCTTCTTTCCTTGTTTCCTCTCTGAACTTTTCTTCGTTTTACTCTACATTGACTCTTCTGTTCATTTTTAAATTGTGTTCACATTTGTTCACGTCCCTAATTTTCCTCTCTTCTTTACAAATTGCCTTCTCTCCCTTGTTGTCCTCCATCTTTCCCCTGTTCCTCCTCCTCCCCCATTGGTTGGCTCCTCTGTCCTTATCCCCCTCTCTTTCTCATCAGTCTCTCGTCAGTAACTTCCATATGTCCCTCACAGTTACTAACTTCCTTCTCCTGGTCGTCTTCATCTCCGTCCTCTATCTTCAACCTTCCCTTCATTTCTGTTATCCTCCTCTCCTCCACCTATCTTTTTCTCCACCCTTCCATTTTTGTTCTCAACAGATTACCATAGATAATGTAATAAATATGAATCAAAGTTCTGCAGGTCAAAGGAGAACAGTTCCACTGTTCTATGAAGAACCATCTCATCTGTGATGTGTGGACTGTACAGCTCGCTCAGCTGAGAGTCAACAAAAACCTTATCATGGTGTGTGTGTGTGTGTGTGTGTGTGTTTGCTCAGGGTGTGCAGTGTCTGCAGCAGCAGTCTGAAAGGTCCGTTACCTTTCCTTCCATCAGACAAATATTAACTTGAGCAGGAACTGAGAAGACACACACACACACACACACATATGCACGGTCAGTGTACATGTGCTGTAGACATCCCTCACAAAAAGCCGGTCTGTGCCTTTGTCAAGTTTTTCTTCTTTCACTGTAGTTCAAACTAAACAAACGGGAAACAACATCCCTGTTGGTTGGATGTCACCAATCAGCTGATCACAGAACAGTTGGGAAGAGTCACTACCACACACTGCGGTCACCGTCCTCCACTACTTTTCTTCATCATTCACATCCTCCCAGTTTCCTCCCTCCCTCTGTGCACACATCAGGATTGGGATTAAACCATGTCTCCATCTTTCCTTCCTTCATCTTTCTCACCCTTTTCCTCTTCTTGGTTTTCTTTACTTTGTTCTTCCTTTGCTCGCTCTCTTCTTTACATCCCTCCTCCCCCTCCACACATCTGTCCTGACAGCAGTGACTCACTGTCTTTGACTTTTGTTACTGTTCATCTCAGTCCTCTTGTCCTTTAATGACTTTAATCCCCTCACCAGTGTCTTTGATTGTGTCTCATAGTTGTCCTTGTCAAGTAATGACCGTGAGGAGGACACAGGTCAGAGTGTGTGTGTGTGTGTCACAGTGTGTGTGTGTGTACCTGTGTGAACCGTTAGTGTGAACATTCAGCATCAACTAACTGCCTTGGTTCATCCAGTTTGATGTGAGGGTGAGTCCAGAGATTGGTTCACCGCTGAACAACACACACACACACACACACACACACACACACACACACCCTAAGATTTAGTGATTGCTGCTGCTACTAAATTCTCCAATGCTTTATTAGTGTGTGGTTAAAGCTCGCAAACAAGCAAGTAAACATAACACACAGTTGTATGTTCACACACACACACACACACACACACACACAGACACCTGAGTGTGGAGGAGGATTGTTTGAAGACGGTACAGAGCTGGTGCTGCAAGACAGTCTGGCTCAACAAGTCCTAAATGGCAGTGTGTGTGTGTGTGTGTGTGTGTGTGTGTCAGTGTGAAATAGGTTATTCAAAACAATCAGGCACACACCCTTACACACAAACACATTTTCTGCTCTGTGTGTTTGCTGATTGAGAGGTTGTGTAAATATGAAGGAGCTGCAGTTTCATTGTGAAATTTGAGCTTCAAACTACAAATACAAATATTTATGACGATTATTAATGTTGTTCTTGGCGTTTTATCTCAGCTCCACTGACTCTGTGTGTGTATATGTGTTTATGTATATCTCTCCTTTACTATATTTTCTCCGTGTCACAAACTTGTTTGAATCTTTTCATTTTATAAGAACAAACGAAAAGGTCTCGGTGAACAACAGGGCAGTTTGTTTCATTAGTGTGTTCTGAAGGACACCGGCCACACTAACATGCAGTCACTGCTGCATATGCTGTTCTCAGTGAACATTAGTCTATCAGTCAGAAAAACAAAGAACATTTAATTTGATACAATCTACATTCACTTACGGTGTTGATGACAAGTTCAAGCTTCAGGATGCTGAATCATACTGATTCTCTATGGGACTTAGTACGTTGAAAACATCTTGTTCATGAATTGAATTTTCTCATTCAAAGCTCTAAATATTGACTCAACCATTGACAATAAATACTATATTTAAATCAGTTTACTAACCTCTGTCTTCACCTCTGTCCCCGTTCTCTGTTTAGTGTCCATCTTTCCTTCGTCTGCTCTGATGATGGAAGCTGAAGCCAGTCCTGCTGAGACCATGCCCCTCTGTTTGACCAAACACCCAGTGTCAGATCCTCAGACTCAGGCTGAACTGCCGTCCAGCACCGTTCTGGGTCAACCTCAGGGTCCAGAAGCTGCTGCCCCAGAGGAGCGGACTGAGGTCAGGAGGAGGACACAGGGAGGGTCTACCTACATCAGGTCCAAAATCAAGGTGATGAACAAGCACAGGTTCTTGCATTGGTGGTTCTGCACCTCAGTTCTGTGATTTACTGGTGGAATAACCTTTTTTTTTAACCACAGGTGACTACAGGAGAGTTGCCGTCAGACCCTACTCCACTTCCCCTTGATTCCTCATCTCCTTCCTCCATCTATCAAACCCTGGAGACAACAACCACCATCCCAGTCTCCATAGCAAACAGGCCCACAAACCAATGTTCAGCCACATCATCTGGACTGTTCTTATGTCAGGTTTGTCAGAGTCTTCCTGTTTTTTACCCTTAGTTCCTGTCTTCTCTTCTTATGTCATGTCATCTCTCTTCCCACTTTTCCGCCTTCTCCTCACTTCCTATCTCATCTCATCTCTTGCGGTCTTCTTTCCTCTCACTTCCTTTCTTCTTTCCACTCACCTCCTGTCATCTATCCTTTTACTTCCTGTCATTGCTCCACTTACTTCCTGTCCCCACTTCCCACCTTCTAACTGTTCACTTCCTGTCTCTTCCTTACTTCTCTCCTGTCACCACTTTCCCTCCTGGACCAGGTGGATGCAATCATGTAATGACGTGGTCATTGTGTGTGCTTGTCTGTAGATTTGTCAGAAAAGCTTCCATCACCAGCGGATGTTGAACAGACACATCAAATGTCACAATGAGACCAAGAGACATTTGTGCACCTTCTGTGGAAAAGGCTTCAACGACACCTTCGACCTAAAGAGACACGTCCGCACCCACACAGGTAACTGCACAACTGACCTGAGGAGTGGAATTCTCCTTCAATGCTGTTGTAGCATACAAACACAGACACAAACACACACAGGGGAATTTCTGGTTTGTGACCTTCACTTTCCACCACAGGAGTTCGTCCGTACAAGTGCACTCTGTGCGACAAGGCCTTCACTCAGCGATGCTCACTGGAGTCTCACATGAAGAAGATCCACAGTGTCACACTCAAGTACGCCTACAAGGAGAGACGCAACAAGCTCTACGTGTGCGAAGAGTGCGGTCACACGGCGGCCACGCAGGACGAGCTCCTTCTCCACCTTCACTCACTTCACCCGGACAGTGCTCTGCTGAAGGGGAAGACAACAAAGAGAGGAGCAGAGGCGGCAGGGAAAGACGAAGGTTCAGTGGGAGGATCGGCACCGGGGTCACCTCAAGGAGCTGACAGTGACGATACCACTGGATCAGCAGAACCATAGAGGAGTCTGAGTGGGGTGGAGGACTGAGACAGAGGGAGAAGTTCAAGTTCCATTGTGCAACATTTAGTGGTGTTTACTTTAACAAGGATTGATAATAAAGTCTGTCTACAGAAGTGGAGCGATGACATACAATAAAAATGGTTCCTATTGGTCTTAGAGGCCACATCAGGTGTTTTATGTTATCTACTTATATACAACTGTTCGATTAGTGTACACCAACAGCATGCCATGCTAACAAAGTATAAACACCTTGAACTCAATTAAAGGAATTAAATCTTGCAAGTGATGAAAACCCAATTTGTAAGCTGCAGTGGAAGAGGACAGCTT